CTTTGATTGATTGAATCTAAGTTTGATTATCATATTAATCAAAGTTTTTCTAGCATAACACTTGAACTTCATTCATTGCTATCTATTAAAGTGTTATCTTACGTTTCTTCTTGTACTCAACTTTGAATTTATCATTCATTAAGAAGAGAAGATTTCATTTGTAAAAATTATTTGAATTGTGGGTCATGTTGAAGTCCCTTAAAGGTCAACATTGTACAAGGATCGGTACTCCTTGTTGTAAGTCACTGTGTGGGTCATATTGAAGTCCCGTAAAGCTCAATAGTGTAGGTCGTGTGGAAGTCCCGTAAAGCTCAACATTGTATAAGGATTGGTGCTCTTTATTTGTAAGTCACCGAAAGCGTTGTAAAAGGTTGGATTGCACCACAAGTCAATCAGCATAGTGAAAATGTCTTGCTCGTGCCGGGGAGTTTAGTAATAGAGGACGTAGATCATTACTTTGAATTGAATCACCATAATTATATCGTTTGCATATTCTCTCCCTTTTACTTATCGCTTTNGGTAATAGAGGACGTAGATTATTACTTTGGATCGAACCTTCATAATTATATCGTTTGATTATTCTCTCCCTTTTACTTATCGCTTTCATATTTGTACTTATTATTTGATTGATCTACTTACTTGAACTTGCTTATGATTATTAATTTATCAACGTGTTTTTAACTTACGTGATTTTAGTTAATTATTCGAAAAAGTTTTAAAACTCAATTCACCCCCTCTTGGTTATTTATTCTTGGGCTAACAGTAACAACTTGATTCTTAGTAAATGGTCTCCATGCATGTTATTTTTCAAAAGGTATGAGTAACAAGAAATCTTCTTGATGAGTGGCAACAAATGAATAGATTCACTCTATAGAAATTTTGACACGTACATTGAATGAGGCAAGCCGATAGGTGGGGCAACGACGCCACGGATTTAAGAGTATTTTTGTTTTCCTCTCTTCTTTTTCCTCACATTTGTTTTGTTCTTTTGTTTTCCTTCACTTTCTATATCACTTGTTTTTGGAAAATTATGCTGTAGGACGTAGGTTGATAAAAGTGCCCCTAACTTTGCGTGCCTAACTTTGTGAGGGCGGGGACCTAAAGGCATCCAAAATTTAACTCAAGCGCTATTCACAAAAGCTGGTACTTCCAAGGGTAGTTTTTCATTTTTGTGTAGCATATTACAATTTGCGATAGAGACACTTTTAAAGTTTATAATATCATAATACTACAATACAAATGCTTGC